CCACTTAGATGAAGGTGAATTTTAGTTGGGGCTCCCACGTTTCATAAAAAGCATTAGGGTTGACCTGAGTATTGGATTTTTTTTTCTTATTCATTTGATGCCATCCTTTCAGTGGTACATTGATGAAACTTTTCCTTTCTTTAGATATGGTGTTGATCAGCAACAGGGGGGATGCTGGTCTCTAAAGAGAGGAACCTGTGTCAGCAGAGAGGGAAAGAAATGGTTCCTGGCAGTATTTCTGGAGCTGATCTTGATGAAGATACTTCTCAGCAGGAGCACTGTGCTTTTTCTTTCTGTGCCCCTTGTTACAAGAGAAAAACTAGGCCTCATCTTAATTGAAACCTTAAAGGGTTGGGGTGGGGGGGGATAGTGCTGGTATATTTTACTGGTAGCCTTTAAGCAGAGCTTTGCTCGCTCTTGCCAGATTGCCTGTTCTGTTCTCTGCAGTTCATTAGCCTAGAGCTGAGAGTTACATTGATCTTTATTTTATCATCAGGAGAGCTATGAATGTAAAGGCAAGCACTTGTATTCTAGTAGATGTTTAAAAACTTTTATTTAACCAAACAAGAATTCAAAACATGTGAAGTTCTTCTGGGGTCACAAGTATTGAAAGCGTTTGTTTATTCTCAAGGAAGTGTATGTGTGAATCTCTTTTTATACACTAGATGGGTTCTTAAAAAGGTAGTTTTATAGTGATAAAACTGTATTTTTATAAGCAGAAAAGTTGAGTGCTTTATAAACAGAATGATTCTAGAGAAACTGATTATTTAAGGGAATCTTATGGTAAATCACTTTGTAAGTGGAAACCTTTTAAAATTTAAACTGTACCCTTGTTGAGTGTTTAGATAAAGAAAACATTCTATTATGTGCATTTTATAAGATGTCTAATGCCAATTAAAAGTGTGTGTAGTGGTTTTTGAAATAATAGAGAGGAATGTTAAGTGACTGGCCATGTTATGTGCACTACATTGAAATAATATGCCAGTTGTATAACTTTTGTTTTACGTAAAAACAACTAAAGGATGCTTTAAATCTCTGCAGCTGATAAGTTTCAGGCAACTTGGCTGGCAGGTGCTTGTACTTTGGAATTTCCCTTAGGCTAGTAGCCTTTCATTTACGAATTATAATTAAAAATGGCAGCACTTTGGAAACTATTTTTTAAAAACTTTCTGTGTGTGTGTGTGTGTGTGTGTGTGTGTGTGTGTGTGTGTGTGGTGGGGGAGTTCCTTGAGCAATCTATCTTGATGTCCAGCCTCCAAATCACTATATATGTATACATACACGTACAAAATGTACATACAGTATATATTTTAAATCGTAGGGATATGTGCAAAAGTGGGAAGCTATTGACATGGCTTTTTTATTGATTTTCATAAGGCAGGGGATAGGTGCATTTCATGCTTAGTCTTTTTATTGTCTTTTAAAAATAAAGGTTTTAATTTTCAGAGTTTTATCTTGGAATTTACTACTTTATACTAAAGTAAGTTAAAGACAACATATAGTTAACTGTGTCAGTTTTAACTGTTTCTGCTCCAAAGATTTTTTTAAAACCCCCAAATAAAACTCAAAAATTTATTTTCTGAAGAAAGATTGTCATGAATGATATTGTAGGGTTAGTATAAGAAACATAACATTCTGAGTGCAGGATATATGAACAAATAGTAGCAGTATGCTTCAATTTATGAAATATTTTAAGAAAATATTTTTAACATTACAGTATTAGGACTATGATTCTTATCTCATATACTCTTGCTTTCTTAAAGGAACAATGCAGCCTATGATTTCTACAAATCTAGTCTAAAGCATTCTTTATATATTTAGTCACATACAATATTTCTCATGTGATAACATTATTTGGGGAATTTTCTTTAAACTTTTAATTTCTTTTTTTAAAAAAAATATTTTATTGATTTTTTACAGAGAGGAAGGAAGAGAGATAGAGAGTTAGAAACATTGATGAGAGAGAAACATTGATCAGCTGCCTCCTGCACACCTCCTACTGGGGATGTGCCCGCAACCAAGGTACATGCCCTTGACCGGAATTGAACCTGGGACCCCTCAGTCCACAAGCCGACGCTCTATCTACTGAGCCAAACCGGCCAGGGCTAATTTCTTTTTTTAAAAAAATATATTTTATTGATTTTATAGAGAGGAAGGGAGAGGGATAGAGAGTTAGAAACATCGATGAGAGAGAAACATCGATCAGCTGCCTCCTGCACATCTCCTACTGGGGATGTGCCCGCAACCCAGGTACATGCCCTTGACCGGAATCGAACCTGGGATCCTTCAGTCCGCAGGCCAACGCTCTATCCGCTGAGCCAAACCAGTTAGGGCTTAACTTTTAATTTCTTATTGGTTGTCTCTTAAAAGGCTGAAGATAGACTTATGTTATATTACATGACATGAATAATAACTCTTACATGGTCCCTGCAGCATCTGTAATATGAGTTAGCTAGAGTACATGTATGTGGATTAACACCTATTTTATGACCAGTACTATGTTTGCTTGTTCTTAGGGGAAGGACAAATCAGCCTTTTAGGAGCTTACTATCCAGTTTTAAATAGATATGTTTAAGTTTAAGTAAAGTACTTGAAATGGGAGTAGAGGAGGGAAAAGCACCATTTAGAATGCTGTGTAATGTATCAAGCTTGTAACTTCTGAAAGAACATTTGGAGATTGCTAAATTTATCTCTATAGACCCTGGCTTTTTAAAACAATGGAGTAATATTAGGGAATAATATTACTAGGTCTTTTTCTGTCTATATTTAAGTTTGAATAACTTGTGGGGAAAGTACTATATTAATTTTATATATATGAGTCCATTTCTGTAACATGTAAAACTTCAATGTTCATAAGAAATTTGAGAAGAACATTATGATTTTAAATTAGATGGATTTTAAGGCATTAAAAAAGTAAGGAAATAATCTTCATCAACTGTTGCTTCAGTGTGGAATATCTATAGTATATTTCTGAATCTATGTATGATATTTTGTCCTATAGTTTAGTTGTCTATAGTATATTTCTAAATCTATGTATGATACTTTGTCCTATAGTTTAGTTGTCTCAGACTGTTGTAATGCCTTAACTTTGCTTATTGCTATATAATTAACAAAAAGCTTTATTTCATTTAATCTGCACAGTAACCTGGGGAGAAAAGAAATTCCCCTTATGTAGATAAGGAAACTGAGGTTCAAAGAGTTTGAGATTAAAAAAAAGATATTTAGATCCAGATTTTTTTCTTCAATTTTTTGGTGGGGAGAGAGATGGGGAGACTTAACTTGTTAGGTTTGTATTTGTATTATTTTAAATAATGAAAACAGTACAAAAGAAGAAAACATTGTTATTTCTAATTCATCTGTATGCATCTAATGTTAACATGTTGATATTCTTGTTTTTAGTCTTTTTTTATGCCTAGTTTTTTACATAGTTAAAATCATGTTATAGCTATAAGTTTGCACTCTTCCGCCCCCCCCCCCCCCCATTGGATCCTAACCATTATTTTGCTTGAACTGAGATTTTTCTGATGGAGTCCAACCAATATCTTTTCCCTACCCCATTTTACTGACTTTGTAACCCACTGGTGCATTATATCTAATATGCCTGAATCTGAACTACTCTTCCTCTAAATCAGCATTTTCCCTTATTTTCCACTGTCTGTATTACCCAGCCCTGAAAGGTCAGAATCATGTTTGATGCCTTACCATTTTTGCCTACCACATTAAAATCTCTGCTAAGATTTGTCAATTCTTGTTACATTTTCTCATCCCTTACTTGCCTTTTTCACCACCACAATTAATATTATTTCATGTTTGGATTATTGATAGCCTCAAGAACCGCCACCTGTTCCATTTATGGAGGGGGGGGGGAGCTTCCTATTAATCTTTCTAAAGCAGTGCTTTGATTGTGCCTTTCACTCTTTTAGATTGTTTCATTGCCTTAATGACTAATTTCAAACATTAGCCTTGTTCTCGAGGCCCTCCATTATCTTGTTCTGCTGTCTTAATATTTCCGGGCCAATGACCTATTTCTTGTTTCCCAAATTTGGTTGGTACTTTTTCATCCCTGTGACATTCCCAGTACCCTTCAAGGTCTAATTCAAATATCACTTTCTAAACACCCTTCCTTATTTGTTGCTTTCATTCCCAGCCTAAAGTATTTACCCCTTGGACTTTTAGCATAGGAGCATTCTTAGAGCACTTATCATGGAATATCTCTTCTTATAAGGTATAAATAATTATTACAAGTCTTACAATTATTATAAGTCTCATTTCTCCAGACAAATTACAAATCTGTTGAAGGCTAACTCTTGTGTCTGAAATTTCACAGCAGAGCAGTAGAGATTTCATGATGAGTAAAATTTGGGGAAGAAATTTGTTGGCCATCTGATAAAGAGCTCTACGCTAGGTTCTAGGGCAGGGGTGGGCAAACTTTTTGACTCGAGGGCCACAATGGGTTCTTAAACTGGACCGGAGTGCTGGAACAAAAGCATGGATGGAGTGTTTGTGTGAACTAATATAAATTCAAAGTAAACATCATTACATAAAAGGGTACGGTCTTTTTTCCCCCCAATAATTTTATTCATTTCAAACTGGCCGGATCCGGCCTGCGGGCCTGTAGTTTGCCCACGGCTGTTCTAGGGTATGGTTTTTCAAGTGCAGGTCTTGTGTATGAACTATTATTATGGATTTAGAAATTGATTTATTTGGGGTTAAGACCAACACTAAAAAGAATAAAGAGTTTGGCTCAGTGGATAGAGCATCGGCCCGAAGACTGAAAGGTCCCGGGTTGGATTCTGGTCTAGGACACATACCTGGGTTGCAGGCTCGATTCCTGGCCCTGGTCAAGGTGTGTGCTGGAGGCAACTGATATCCCCCCCCCCCCTTCTCCCCCTCCTCCCTCCCTCCCTTCCACTCTCTAAAAATCAATGGAAAAATATCCTCAAGGAGGATTAACCAAAATAAATAAATAAATAAAAATAAATTTTAAAAAAGAATAAGGAGGGGAAGAAAGAAACATAAAAAAATTGATGCTTCACATAATGTTGATTAAAGAAACTTTCAGTTTTATATTTTTACCTTAGAATTACGTTGTAAAGTTTTCTTACTATGGGTCACAGTCAGATGAAAGGTACACTTCTAGTGGCTAATCCCCATCTTTGAGAGACTAGGTGAGAGGATGAACAATCAGAAGTAGTTATATTAAATTGTGTTCTTTGTTTTTGAACTTTTTAGAATCTGAATATAACAGTTCGAATACGGTTAATAGCAGCAAAAAATATATATAGTTCTAAAATCAGTTTAAAATATGTTTTTATTAATTTTAGAGAGAGAGGGATAGAGAAATGGAAACATCAGTGAGAGATACTTCTGTATACCCCCTGCTGTGGATGGAGCCTGCAACCCTGGGCATGTGCCTTGACCAAGGGGGAAGGAGATCGGATTGGAAATGGGGACCTGTTGGTTTATGGGTCGACGCTTAACCATTGAGCCACAACCTGGGCTAGAATCAGTTTAATTGAGGCAAACTCAGTATGCAGAAATGTGGTTTTATAAAACTGATAGGTTAGGATATGTTACTTACTTTGTAAAGGATTTAAAAAAATGTTTTTTTTCCAAAATAATTTACCATATTGTGTTTTTAGCTTTTCTGATGAAGTTATCTATTTCTTGACTGATTCTCCCCTCGTTAGCTATTGAAAATGTATCTGGTCTTTAAGGCATGGCTCAAGCACACTTTTTTTTTCTCTCCTCAGGAGGCTGTGCCTGATTATTTCAGTCTTGCACACATACCATTGCACTATGGTGCTTCTAAAGTGGAGGAGACTGAGCACTTACACCTAAGGGATCTGGGGGTGTAGCCAAAACTTGGAGTTTATGTAACTTAAAAGTTTATATGATAATTTCACAACCGTTATAATAAGAATTGATTCAGATAGGAATCATTGATAGATGCTAAATCTAGGGGATATTTTGATGAGCAGGATTTTTGTATGGTCTTAAATATCTATATATTGCTTATTAGTTGCAAGGGGAAAAATATCATAACACTATACAGTCGTGAAATAACACCTTGAGTGCATGATCAAAATAAATAGCACTAGTGGACATTGTGTGCCTTTGAATGTGATGCCCTGAGAACACATCACTTATGCAGTTCTCTAGTAAGTAATGCATAACCTGAATCTGATCATGAGGAAACGCTGAATTCTTTTTAAAAAGTATTAATGTTATAGAGACAAAGGAAGACTATGGAAATGTTCCAGATTAAAGGAGATTAAAGAGACATGGCAACTGCAATACCTGATTCTAGACTGGATCTTGTATTAGAGGGCATAATGCTATAAAGGATGATTGCATAATTGGATCACTTGGCAAAATGAGAAAGTGGATGGTAGATTGGGTAAATAAAAGTATTGCATCAATATTAAATTTATTGAAGTTGATAACTATCCTATTTTATTCTTAGGCACTACACACTGGAGTTTTCAGGGGAAAAGGGCCATGGTATATGTAATTTACTCTCAACTTGTTCCCCCCCAAAATTGTGTAATATGTATATGTGTTTTACTAGTATATATGTACATATAAATGCATGTATGTATACATAGCCGTATAGAGAGGGACATAGAGAGGGAGGAAGTGATGACAGAGGATGGGAGGATACTCAAGTACAAATAAAGCAAGTGAGTAAAATGTTAACAATAGGTATAAAAACTATGGATATTCTTGTTCTTAACACTTTTTCTGTAAGCTTGAAATTACTTTCAACTGAAATTTTTTTAAAAATCAAACTTTACATATTACTCCATAATATAGTATTTTAAAAACATGGAAATAGAAATATCTCCTGTCCCAAAAAATTCCAGGCAAACTCTTGGGATAAACTGTGGCTCCCAAGAATATGTTCCATGTATATCATGTGGTTTCCTTTTATCCCTAGGCCTCAGTTTGGGAAACATGCCTCGGGGCCAGAGGCAGCTGTGGTTCAAATTTAGCCGACAGACATGTTTTGTTTGGCCCTTTTGAGTGTTTGAAAGATTGGGAAATTTCACATAAAAATCTGGATCTTTGGTTTCTCTTGAAAAATGGAATGATCTTGCCACTCTGGGCTTGCGTTCCATAGATGATGTGTATACTCACTAAGTGGTGTGACAGGTAAGCAGCTCCCGTCCCTACCTTACACATCGTTTGTTTCACATGTGTTTGCAGCCTCTACCTAGCCCAAGAGCTAGGGGTGTCTGTCTTTTTCATACTTTTAACAATTTCAGAATTAAATTGCAGAACTGACGCCCTGTCACCTGCTAACCTTTTAGTGTGTGCATCCTATAAACAAGGAAATTCTCCTAGATAACCATACTATAACCAAGCAAAACAGGAAATTAATGTTGATACATTACTATAATCCTCAGCCTATGCAAGTTTTGCTAATTGTCTTAATAATATCTTTTATGGCAAAAGGATCCAGTTTAGAATCAAATGTTGCATTTAGTTGTCCTGTTGCCTTAGTCTGCTTCAGTCTGGAGCAGTTTCTTAGTCTTTCCTTGAGTTTTGTGACCTTGACACTTTGTAAGATTATAGGCCAAGTTGTTCTGCAAAATGGCCCTAAATTTGATGTTTCCTCCTGATTAGATGCAAATTATGTATCTTTGGCACCAATGCCACAGAAGTGAAGCTGTGTTTTGTTTCATTGTATCCTGTCAGATGGCACGCAGTTTTCACTGTCCCATTAACTAGTGATGTCCATTTGGATCATTGGATTAAGGTAGTGTTTGCCAGACTTCTCCATTGTAAAATTACTTTAAAAATATTTTTGTAATTAATAAGTATTTTGTAGGCAGTGCTTTGAAATTTTGTAATTCTGTTTCTCATTAGACCATCAATTTATTGGTTTATTTATATCTGTATGGACTCAGGTATTCTATTTTTTTTTTAATGGATCATAATCTGTTTATTTTGAAGCTCAAATTGGGTCCATTTTGGGTCATGGGTACCCATTTATGCTGGTTTCTGCAATGTTTTGACATGTTCCCATCATTTTTTTAGGACTTTCTTGCTATTTGACACAGTGAGATGTTTCAGGTGCACAATTCAGTCTGTAATCACATGCCTATTTACTTTATATAATTTTAAGTAGGGTTCAGGTTTTGAATTAAGTCATTTTAAGCTTGTGAACATTTTTATGGTTCTTTTGTAATTTTGTTACTGCATAATATTTATCTTACAGTTAAACATATGCACGACTAGATTATTAATGTAAATTAGTTTGAAGGTATTTGCTGTCAATGAGAAGTCATTCAGGATATTTCTTACTACCCTGTGTCTATATTTAAACAATCAGCAACTATCTTAGAGAGCAGGGTACTGTTAGGTGGTGCGTGTGTGAGGAACTTGGTTAAAAGAAAATATATTTCAGCCACAAAATCAACCATGCTTTTTTCCACTTAAAACATTGTGATCATCTTTCCTTCTCAGCAAATATATAAACTTTAATGCATCATTATTTGGACATCTGGTTCTTCAGCTGGGTGTGTAGGACATAATTTAACTTATTCTTGATGGCTGATGGTGATTATTATGAGCATTAGACATGGTTCTGTGCTGTAATATCACTAGTGGTGCCTTTAAGAGCTACTTGCGTATGGCTGTTTGCTCCACACACTCTAGTGGTTCTCAACCTTCCTAATGCCGCGACCCTTTAATACAGCTCCTCATGTTGTGGTGACCCCCAACCATGAATTTTTTTCGTTGCTACTTCATAACTGTAATTTTGCTACTGTTATGAATCGTAATGTAAATATCTGATATGCTATATGTGTTTTCCGGTGGTTGCGACCCACAGGTTGAGAAACTTGCTATCAGGTTTCTGGTATACATTTATACCATTACTTAATTTTTAGTACTGCTCCCCACCTTGGTTCTTCACAATTACTAACAAGGAAACTGTTGCAAAGTAGAGGCAAGCATTTACAAAAACAAAATCCCCAGCTTATTATAAATGTGAGTGGGGTATGATGGAATTTCTTCCTAAGCAATTGACATTCAAACCATCCAGAAATCACCAGAACTGAATTTGCAAAGATTATTTTTTTGCCTAAGTCCAAGTCCAACAGAGGAGCTGAAAATCAGTTATAATTGTCTTCTTGCTGTTGTTTGTCACCTTGTGTCAGTGTGCTTTAATCTTTCTTTTTAATTATTATTTTTTAACAGTCTCATTTATAATATTTGAACTTATATCTCTTGAAAGATAGGACTCTTCCTTCATTATCAGACCTTAAATTTGACAGTAATTTCTTTCTTTTTTTTATTTTTATTGATTTCAGAGAGGTAGGGAGAAGGAGAGAGAAGCATCAATGAGAGAGAATCATTGATCAGCTGCCTCCCACATGCCCCACACTGGGGATCAAACCCGCAGACCCGACATGTGCCCTGGCCGGAAATCGAATTGTGATCTCCTGGTCCATAGGTTGACGCTTGGCCATTGAGCCATGCTGGCTGGGCGACAGTAATTTCTTAATATCAAATATACAAATATCTCTGATTTTCTCTTAAGTGTCACTTTATAGTGGTTTACATGAAGATTTAAACAAGATTTGCTGTCTCTTAAGACTTTTAATCTGTTTATTTCCATTTCCATTTTATTTTTTCCTTTGCAATTTGTTAAAGAAACTAGACCTTTTGTCCTATAGAGTTTAACACAAGTGCTGATTGTATTCTTTGATGGTATTTAACACGCTTCTTTGTCTTCTATATATCCTATAAATTGAATGTAATGGATTTTTATATATTTGATGTATTTCTGTCTGCTACTGTTACTCTTTTCTTTTTCCCTTTTTTTCAATGCTCAGATTTGTCCATCTTTGGCCTGTGGGAGCATCTTCAAATTGACTCCTGAGTCCTGATCCTAGTGGTTTTTGCTGGCTTCCTTGCTTTCCGATATGACAAGATGTTCAAGCTTTTCTTCTATTCTTTCTGGTCTAATTCTGCAATCAGCTTTTTTCCTAAGAAATTGTGGTTCCTTTTGGCAGGAGATGGTATTCTTGACTCTAGGGGTGTTTCTTGTTACTGGATTGGTTATTTCTGGTCTCTCTTTTTTATTTCCAATTTTAAGTCTGCTGTAGGTTGGGAAACCAGATAACAAAGCTGGTTTGACTTGCATAAGGATTGTTTTGAAGCTCAAAAAGGAAGAACCCATCCCTGACCGATTTGGCTCAGTGGATAGAGCGTCGGCCTGTGGACTGAAAAGTCCCAGGTTCAATTCTGGTCAAGGGCATGTACCTTGGTTGTAGGTACATCCCCAGTAGGACGTGTGCAGGAGGCAGCTGATCGATGTTTCTCTCTCATCGATGTTTCTAACTCTCTCTCTCCCTTCCTCTCTGTAAAAAAAATCAATATATTTTTAAAAAAAGAAGAACCCAGAGTTCAAGGCCTATACGTAAAATTTAAATTGTGTGGTGTCACACCTTCATGGACAGGATCATAACTAATAAATATTGCTAATGTTGATGATACTGTGAATAACAGGATATCAGATGTTCCTCAGAGTAAAATAATAGATTTCTGAATGAGGCCCTTAATAAAGTGCATGAGCTTTTAGCTTACAAACTTGATGATACATACATGTTATAGCCCACTTATGCTTCCTGTGTTTTCTTTTGTTAAGGTGATCTTTCTTTTGTTCCTTTTGTTAACATAAATCCTTAAAAAACTGAAGGGTTAGGATATTTTAGTCAAATTATGCTGTATTATATTTGGAGTATTCCATAATAAGAATGCACTTTTTTTTTCCTGTAAGAATATACTTTCTCTGACTTTCCAAAATTGATGACTTCCTGTTTTAAAACAACTAGTGTTGATATCTGATACTTTTCCTTAAATCTTTTTTTCAATTCTTGCTTAATGCTCTCTAAGTGACTGTCTTATGCTGATCTTTAACTGATACATCAGAGCAAATGACAAAATTTGTTTGCATTTTTCGTTGAGCCATTTGTTCCAGAAAAATGTCACAACTGACTTCTGTTGATGAGTGAGTAGGAGGTTTTTTTAAAAAATTATTATTTTTCATTTTTTAAACTTTGAAGGATATCCTGTTTTGACTTTAGTTGGGACATCGCCTTTGATTTTCTTTAACTGCTTTGAGTACCTCTTGGCATTCATCTTTTTTTTTTTTTAAATTCTCACCTGAGGATATTTTTTCCATTTATGTTTAGAGAGAGTGGAAGGGAGGGAGGGGGGGAGGAGGAGAGGGAAAAACATCGGGGCTCAAACCTGTAACTAAGGTACATGCCCTTGATTGGGAATCGAACCCAAGACCCTTCAGTGCCTGGGCTGGTGCTCTAACCATTGAGCACACCGGCCAGGGGTTGGCATTCATCTTTAATTCTCTCCAATTAAGGTTAGTATGGATGTTTCGGGCACAATTTCTTGATTTTATTAGGATCTGCTCTTGTGCATTATTTGAGATAAGGTGTTGGGAAACAACGTTGAGAATAAAGAGAGCTGATTAGGGAAATAATCAATATTTGACTAGTTTTTCTATTTAAAAAAATTTTTAAAGATTTTTATTTTACTAATTTTTTAAAGACAGAGAGGAAGGGAGAGAGAGAAACATCGATTTGTTGTTCCACTTATTTATGAGTTCAAGGGTTGATTCTTTTCTGTGCCCTGATTAGGGATTGAACCCACAAGCTTGGTATGTCTGGACAACGCTCTAACCGAGATCAGGTCAGGGCAGTGTTTTATATTTCTTGAAATTTTGTTTGTGAATGAGATTTAATGATTATATGCACACTAAAACTTCTTGGTTCATTAGTGCATACGTTAATGGGGCTAAGGTAATGGGTTTGAGTCTTATATAAGTCACTTATTTTTTTTTGTTGTTTCTTGGTCATAAACACTTCCAGTAAGTAAATGGGTTTTGATTAGCTTCTTTGATCATAATCTCTATACTAAGTGCAGTGATAAATTGGCAAATGAGCCACTTGAAATCCCTGCTCTCATGAAGCTTATAATTCTTTGGGGGATTCAAGCAATACTTATTCAGGAAATATTTATTGAATGCTTGGTATGTGCTCAGCAGTCTTCCAGCTATAAACAAAGCTCTTATGGAGCTTATAATGCAAGCTTTTAAAATACAGAGTAATAAGAATTGTGATGGTGAAGTATAGGAAGCTTTGGAAACATGAAGGGTTACCTTAAACCTTCACCATTTAGTCTTTTATTTTTTTTTTCAAGTGCATGTCTTCGTTTAGGGTATAAGTAGATAAATAGAGGTCAAGTCATAATGGACCTCTCCGCTCTTGGAAACAGTTTAAAGGAATAACATTTACTTTTTTTTTTGTTTTTTCCTACTCCCATACCTGAGAAAATAAAGTACATGTAGAACTCACTTTGGTTGCATGTTTTTCTGCCTATGGAGAGGCTGTTGTCATATGTGCCCTACTGGTGTCATCCTAATTTAAGGCAGTGAATTCAATGACTTCTATCTTCTCTGTTACCTATTTAAGTGTTAGCTTTCTAAGATACTTGCTTTTTCTATATCTTTGATGGATTATGAGTCCTATAATTGTTTATGATCTACAGTATACTTGCTGTTGGAAATAGTCATTGGTGCTGTAGTTAATGGACGTAAGAAATTTGGTTTACATGGATAACTTTAAAAAATATTTTTATTGATTTTAGAAAGTAAGGGAGAGGGAGAGAGAGAAACATCAATGATGAGAGATAATCATTGATTGGCTGCCTCCTACATGCCCCACATTGGGG